TCATTCAAGGGAATGTGGGGCAGGCTGCTTCCTCTCTCCTCCTGGAGCTGCCGCTGGGAGACCCTCAGGACAGCCACCCCTCCTCTCAGGGCTTGTTGTCCCCTTGGCCTTTGCTCTTTAGGGTCTGCCCTCGGCAGCCTATTAACCCTCCGAGAAAAGAGATATTGACGTCAAAGGTGGCTCCTGAGACAGGGCAAGGACTGAACTAGGGCTCCCTGTGCTCCTGTCTTCAGGTCACATGAGCTCTCCACTGACTCACCGATCCCATCTGGGAAATGGGCATAACAGGCTCGGCCATCAAAAGAGGTAGTATTCTAAGCTCCACAGGCTCTCCTTGGTCTCAGTTCAGACCCTCTCCCCAGGAAAGACCTCCCCGGCTCCAGCCCCAGTAATTAAATCCCCCCTTCTCACCTCCCTTTATGGGGCTTAGATGATGAGAAAGAAGGTGGATCAATCTGACAGCAGTTCATTGGCCCCATGGGGCTATGGGATTGGGTGTGCTCGCCCTGATCCCTGGGCCCAGGTCCTTTTGAAACAAGCACATGAATGTCCAGGTACTCTAGGACACTTCATTTTATTTCTCCCTGAGGTGTAGAACCAGACACTGACCTTGAAAGGGCAACACAGCTTCCCAAGAGCTTTTCAAAGGCCCTGGTGGTGATGGTGGGGGCAGTGGAGAGAGGAGGGGCCGGAAGGAGAGGGAGAGGGGGAAGGTGAGGGGGGACGGTCAGTACTGTAGGAAATCCTGCCAAGGCAGAATGCATCTACCCCACCCTCACACCCACAGGCCAGGGAGAGACCCTCACCTTCCAGACGAGGCGCACACCTCAGCATTTAGCTCCGGCACCCGCAGCAGGGGAGCTCTGGTGAGAGCCCAAGGGTAGAGAAGCAAGAGGAGGTAGTGGACAGCGGAGGGTGGGAGAGGAGGGCGGCGGCCCCCGGCTGGCCTCCGAGGGATGGTTAGTGTGAGGTCCGTTCAGAACCACTGCAGAAAGCGGGGTTCAGGGCAGCTGCTTGGGAAGGCCTTCCAACAGGCAGGCAGATTCCCATCGCTGCTAGAACTAGGGAAAGCAAGGGAGGAGGCTTTGCAGCTTTACCTGCGCCCTGTGTGGAGGCCGAAGAAGGCTGCACAAAATGACCCGGTGAGGACGGCCTTGTTCCCTCCTTCTGCCTCCCCTCTCCCTGATGCCTCCATTGAGGGGTCTCAGTGGGCTGGAAGGTTGTAACAGTGAGTAACATAAAGCACTTTCACATGGAGGTCCTAGGGTAGGAACCTTCCAAACCCATTTTGGAGGCAAGGAAATTAGGCCCAAACCAGGCGAAGGATAAGTTCGAGGCCAGGTGGCAAGAGGGTGGTGGAGCTTGCAGGGGAGGTCCGGTGAAGGGCCCTTTCCACGACGGTCCTCCAACCCCAAGGTGCCTGTCTCTCCTGGGTGAGCTCCTGCCCCTCCCCCGCAGCAGGCCGACAAAGGGGCAGCATCCTTCCGGAAAGGGGCAGCAGGCTGAGGAATGTGAAGGACCTGAGAAGCAGGCTGCCACTCAGCAGACCACCACATACAGTACCAGCCCGCCACCACCCTCACTCCCTTGGCCCTGCTCTCGGGCTCTTGCGAGCACTGACGCCTCCAGCCGACCGTCCTTTTGTTACCACCTGTGTCCCCCACTAGGTTGTCATCTCCACAGAGCCAGGCTTGATGTGTCTTGCTTATGACTGTGCCCACAATGACTCAGACAGGTGCCTTTAAATATCTACATGAATAATGAATGGCACTTAGGCTGACCACTTATTAGCTGTGTGACCTCGGACAAGTTACCTACCTCTCAGCTAACATTTATGCCCTTACTATGTGCCAGGCACTATTTATCTGAGAGCTTTATACATATTAACTCGTATAAGCCCCACAGAAATCCTATGAAGTGGTCACCATTATTATCCCTGATCATTGACAGATGAGGGAAGTGAGGCCCAGAGGGTGGGGTGACCTGTGGCAGGGAAGGGGCTGGTAGCAGAGCCGCGAAATCACAGGCCGGAACAGGTGCTTGGCCTAGAAGTGAAGTAACTGCCGGCCCCCACTTCTGTCTCCTCCTCCTTGTAACCTTTTGCCTATAAAACAGGGCTAATCACAGCTCTCCTTTCCCTACCCGCCCCCTGCTCGCCCCCCTCACACACACACACACACACATACACACACACACACACACACACACACACACACGGGCTGAGCCCTCATGGAGAGGATGCAGAGGCACAGTTTGGGTTCTGGGGAAGGGCTGGGTTCAAGGTATCATGAGCTCTCTGTCTGCCTCCATCAGCAACAAGCTTCCTCAGAGGCCTGGGTGCTGACCCCTCTTCCTCTTTCCACACACTCTTCTGGGTCTTGGGTGCTCCTGCTATGAAATGGGGAAGGGTTTCTCAGGCTGGGGGGCATGAGAGAGGGAATAGAGTCAAAGTGATATGGAGGGATTTCCACTTCTGGTAATATGGTGGTCTCTGCCTGTTCCCCCTAAAAACAACAAAAAATGTTGGACAGAATTAAAAAACATGTTTCAAAGCAATGAGGTGCTCACAGGGCAGTAGGGAATGAGGAGACCAAAATCTAAGAGAAAGCCAACTCCAGGGTGTGAGCAGGGCATCAGGGCCCCTCATGCCCCAAGAGCATTGGCCAAGCTGAGCCCAAACGACCTTTGGCTTTCATAGTCTGTGGGGTGAGGAAGACAGAAGCTGAAGCCCAGGCCTCATTGAGGAGGGGAGACAAGGGGGACAGCCCCCCATAATGCTGGGACCCCAAAGGGCTACATACTCCAGCTAAAGGCCAGAGGAAACCCAGGCCCCATCCCATCAGACCTCAGGGAGCAGAGGACAGGACAGACCTAGGGGCTGTATGCACAGGGAAGCGCTCAGGTTCTGTGGCCCACTCACGGCACTTAGGGCAGTGGGGCGCGGGCCGCAGAGAAGTCAGCCTGACTGTGGAAGGGCCCCTTGGAGAGTTTGCCTTCCTTCCTCCTATTCTTCTAGACGCCCTGCAGATGGTCTCCTCAGGGGAGAGAGCAGTCCACAGCCCAAAGTGACCAAGAACCATGGACCTGGTCAGGCAGGGAGGCTATCTCAGGCCTCAGTGTTCTCACCTGCAAGTGTGGGGCGCTAAGCAGATGCTCTCCAAGATCCCTTTTGGTATAGGGATTCTCTAAGGGTGAAGCTATGTGTGCTTCTAGAGTGAAGAGGTGGGGGTGGATGTGATGGATCAGCCTGTCTCCTCCAACTGTGCTGGAAGGGGTTGGGGGGTTGCTGTACCCAGTTCCCAGCTCTGGGGGTGGACAATAAGGGGGTTGTGTCTGTGGCCCCGAATGGGCCTTTGATGTATGCATGGGTGGGTGGGCCGGTGGGGCCTATAATAAGGGCCGCCAGGGAAGGAGGCAGGGGAGCCCCTGGGGGCATCCTCAGCTTGACCTACTTGGGTCCCCATAATTGCTCCCTTCCTTCGTTGGGAGGCTACAAATAGGGATGTCCCGTCTCTAGCCTCCTACAGCTGAAACCAACACCAGCGGTGAGTACCAGCTGCTTGGGTGCTGCCCTGGATTGGGAGGCAGGGCAGCTCGGGGTCTGGGCCTGGGCACAGAGGGATGAGCACAGCAGGGACTGGCCAGGTGAGGGGCATCAGGTATGGTGGGCTCAGGGGCCCTTTGTACAGTGGAGGGCTGTCTGGAAGCTTGGGTTAGGGGTGTGGAGCGTTGAGGTCTGGCAGGGGTCGGGGCTTCACGGGGAAGAGAGGATTCCCTCCAGTCTCCAGGCACCCAGCTTCTGAAAGAGCAACCGTGGTGGTGCCAGCCAGGCCGGCAGGAGCCCAGAAGGGCCGCTGAGCACCTCTGAATTTCCTTATTCCCTGCGTGTGTGGCCCTTTCCTCCGCTGGGAACACAGACACCTTGCTCCCACGCTGGGCTGTCACAGAGAGACCACAGGCAGTGCTTTGCCCCATCGCCCCGCCCCCAGCCCTGCCAGCCTTCTGCTCCACAGGGCCCAGCAGAGGGGCATCAGGGACAGAGCCATGGCCTGGCAGCCTTGCTGCACACTCCTGTCCCCTAGGCTCACAGGGGAATAGTACTGCCTTCCCGACTGCCTCAGGGTTTCCCAGGCTGGAGGCAGCCTCCCAGAAGGCAGTGGGATTGGGGGGAGGCGGGTACTTCCAGGAAAGCCTGCCCCTCTGACAGAACAGGGTGGTCCTATGCAGAGCCTTCTATCTCACGACCTCAGGGAGCAGGGAGACAGCTTCAGGTGGGGCAAATCACAGACCGGTAAATACCTGAGCTGACTCTCTCTGTGGACTGCCGGTTCAGGTCCCTGAGTAGGCCTGAGAGGTGGAATGAACCCCAGTTTACAGGTAAGGCCCCTGACACCCAGTGTCAATGGCTCATCTGAGGTTGCATGGCTGGTTCGATGCACAGGGGATCCCAAGCAGAGCTCACAGGAGGACGGATGGGTGACAGTGGTGGGGGTGAGGTGGTGGGGGTTCCTCTCAGACCTGGTCCCTCCCTGAGAATGCCCAGCTTCTCCAAGGGCCTGAAGATGGGGCACACAGGGCAAGGGTCTCCTCGTGCTATTTCCTATGGAAGGAGTTTGGGTCCTAAAGGTCAGGAGGCTATATCTCATGGTGGTGCAGAGTGGGACTGAGCCCTTCCTGGGTGTCAGGGACAAGAGAAGGTAGACAGTCAGGGAGTCCTCAAGGATCCCCAGTGTGGGGGTGTAGTTGGGGGGTGGGGCGCTCCCCCTGAGGAATTTGCAATGATGTTAGGGAAAGAAGACCTCCATCCAGGAAAATACCAATGGGGTAGTAGGGAAATAAATTAGAAGGGGCCTGAGTGGTCAGGGAGGGCTGCTCAGAGGGGAGCGTGTGGGGTCCGAAGCCTGGTGGAGACTAAGGTCTGGGAGCAGTCCCTGGGAAACGCCCTGGGCAGAGGTGCCCTGGGCCTTGGGCATGAGCCTCACACCCTTGTTCTCTGACAGTGAGGATGGCCAGGCCTCTGGAGCAGGCGGTGGCTGCCATTGTGTGCACCTTCCAGGAATATTCAGGGCGCTGCGGGGACAAGCACAAGCTCTGTCAGGCAGAGCTCAAGGAGCTGCTGCAGAAGGAGCTGCCCACCTGGACCCCGGTGAGCACCTGGGGTGGCCAGTCTGCGGGGGAGCACTGCCTGGACTCTGCAGAGACAGACCTGGGGGCAAGCTCTGAGCAAGTGGGGTACAGGCGAGTCTGTGAGGAGGGGACACCAGAAAGGGAACGGACGTGGCGGGAGTCCCAGCCCTCATCTGGGAGACGGGAAGGAGAGTTGCTACACCTGCTGCTCTGCAGGGCTCCTGGGAGGACGGAGGGAGAGACACTCAGTAGGAGACAGTGGGATCTGAGAGGGACGGTGTGGGGGGCATGGACATGGGCGAACGACCAGAACAGGAGGCTGAGGCTGGCCCCCAGAGGGGTGTGGGAAGCGTGGGACCGCCCAGGAGGGGAGGGAAAGAAGTGGCAGGCTCCCTCCTCAACCTGCCCCCTCCCCCGCCCCCTGCACAGACCGAGCTGCGAGAGTGTGACTACAATAAGTTCATGAGTGTTCTGGACACCAACAAGGACTGTGAGGTGGACTTCGTGGAGTATGTGCGCTCCCTCGCCTGTCTCTGCACCTTCTGTCACGACTACTTCAAGGATTGTCCCCCTGACCCCCCCTGCTCCCAGTAGGCTCTGCTCCCATGGGCAAGGGTCTGCTGGGGCAGGACCTGCTACGTTGGCCGGGCCTACCCATGAGGCTGGGGAAGTGAGGGGACCTCCCCAGGATCACAGCTAGAAAAACACAGAGCAGTCAGTTGCTGCCTCCCTTCTGAGGCTGTGACGGGAGGGGGCGAGGCTGCCCTGCACAAATGAGGCCCTTTTAACTCCTAATAAAGAACTGGTGTCACTTGGTTTGGCTTGCTTCTTTTGATAGTCTGGGTCTTGGGGCAGAGTCCTCCCTCCTCTCTGGTCTTTTGTGCTGGAGAGCAGGAGGCCGAGGGCGGTGTCAACCCAGCGGAAACATACGGTCTCCACCTCCAGTGGGAGGGGTGCGGTCAATATGAGGACGATGTCTAGGGGCTTTGGGGGTATCTCTTTCTCTCTCTGGGGCCTTTGAAGGAGAAGCTCCCCCAGGGCTGTCAAGGAGGATGCCAGGGCAGCCTGAGATTCCCTGGGGATGGTGCTCAGTCCTCAGCCAGGCTGTTCTGAGGAGGAGGGTGGGGTGTAGGGGTGGGGCGGGCTTGTTGGCCTGGCTGTGCAAGCCCAGAGAGCAGAACTAATAGGATTAGGGTGTCTGAGGTCTGACTAGGGTATTGCTCCTGGCCAGGGAGGGGTACCCTGCATCGGAGGGGGAAGGGGGCACCTTGATCCATAACTCATCCCTGAAGCCATAACCAGTTGAGGGCCTTAGCCCCCCCACTCCTGATCCTCATTCAACCTGAGTTCATACCCCACTCTGAGAGGGTGACCCTGATCCCCGCCTTCCCCATTTTGTGCCATTTCTCCTCTAACTTTCCACCCCAACCTGCGTTCTTCACTTTAATTCTTTCCCAACTCTAGATACCCCCTCCTGATACCCTCCCTCTCCCCAGTCCTCTGGGTACCTGCTGTCCATCCCTGAGCCCCACACTTGACTCCTACTCCCTACTCCATCACTGCTGCACCCAGGGCCTTTGTCCACTGACATGCCTGGGGTGGTCCTAGCATCAGCTTTGGGTGTTGGTCTGCTCCTCCTCCAGACCCCCAGCTCCTGCCCTGGACCTCACTCAGCATGGCAGAGCACCCTTTGGAGAGGGGAAAAGGGCAGCAAGAGCCATACCACAACACTGAGCCTGGGGTCCCCTCCTTAGTGCTTGGGCAGCCACATTTCCAGGGCAATTTCTTTTTTTCAAGATTTTATTTTATTTTATTTTTTAAGTAGGCTCCATGCCCAACGTGGGGCTTGAACTCAAGAGATTCAGAGATCAAGAGTAGCATGCTCCACCAACTAAGCCAGCCATGGGCATTTCCAGGGCAGTTTCTCACCCATCACTGATCTCCCTGTACCCTGCTTTCTAGCTGCCCAGTGGGACCACTCCTTCTCTGTCCCCCATACCCAAGGCACAGACTTCCTCTCGCTCCCTAAAATTCAGGTCGAGCCGTGCCCACTGGGGAGCGCACACCCCACTGAGACCCCTGCCTGTGTGGGCTCTCCCATTGTCCAGTGTGCCTGCCCAGGGCAGGAAGCGGGTTTTCCAGTGGGGCTGGTGGAGGGGCCCATAGGAGGACTGTCTCTCACTCTTCCCCAACCCCTGCTATGGGCAGGGCCTGGTCAGGGTATAAATAGGACAGACCGCTGGGTTTTCCCCACTCTTTCTCTCTTCGCACCCTCTCTCCTCATCTCCTCCTCCCTCTTGGCCTGGTGAGTCGTGGTCTCCTGACTAGCACGCAAGGGGTGTCAGGTTGAGGCTGGGGTCAGGCTTGGGGCAGAGGAAGGAGTGGCTGGTGGGGGCCAGATGAGCTAACTGGGTCCAGCATGAGATTCTGATGAGGAGGCCCTGTGGTGGGATGTGTGTGTGTGTGTGTGTGTGTGTGTGCACCTGCATGCACATGCAAGAGAAAAAAACCAACAAAATGAGAAGTGTGCCGGTGGCTGGATTTAACCTAGCTGGGTGGTAATGAGATGCTGGGCTTTGCAAATGCTGTTGCTGTAGTGTGTGTGACCTGTGGGTCTGCACATTGGCTTGTGTTTGCTGGGTTGCACAAGCCTCTGTGTGCACACTTGGGTGTGGGAAGAAAACTGAAGGCGACTGGCCTTTTGTCTGGTTGTGTCCTATGGGCCTCTGCTCTGCACCCAGCAGCCCAGCCAAAGGGAGCTTGCCTCCCCACCCCTCCCTTGCATCCCTGTCCCTGCCACCTCACCCTGCCCCTCCCTACTCTAGGGCTAGGCCACTTGTTTTTTCCGCTGCAGGCCCCTGGGCAGACCTCCAGCAGCCCTGGGAGGGGGAGAATGCGGCAGGGTGGGGCTGCTGTGGTCGTGGGAGTACTGGGGGGGGGGAATAGTTGGTGAGGCCCAGCCTGAGCGAGGCTGCCTGAAATCCAGAGCCTGTGCAGCCTGTGTCCTGGCCAGTGTTGGCGGCCCGAAGCACACACTTTCCACCAGGAGCTGAGCTCCACCTTTCTGGGGTCCCCCTCTGGTGAGAGCAGAGTCTCACCAAGTGGTCCCTGAGGGATGGGAGTGGGGTGGGGCATTCTGAGGGTGGGGCTGGGGAAGATAAGGGTGTCTCTGGGACCCTGTCCTCAGATCCTGACTGTCACCATGGCATGCCCCCTGGAGAAGGCTCTGGATGTGATGGTGTCCACCTTCCACAAGTACTCCGGCAAGGAGGGTGACAAGTTCAAGCTCAACAGGTCAGAGCTAAAGGAGCTGCTGACCCGGGAGCTGCCCAGCTTCTTGGGGGTGAGTGGCTACTGCCTGGAAGTATGCCCCTGTGTGCCCCCTTCTCCGCAGAGGAGGGGCAAGGCCTGGGTGGGGGGGCACCAGTGTTTTGGCAGAGTTGTAGCCACAGCTGGTATCTGTCACCGAGATGGGGACGTCCGGGCAGAGAGCTTGCTCTAGTTGGAAACACAGTGAGTACCCGCTGCTCATTTCCTGGAGCCCAGCAGGAAGAGGGCTGGGAACGATCAGGTAGGACGCCTGCCAGACTTCGCCAGGTGCTTTGTACAACTCAACCGAAGCGCAACAAAAGTTCAGAGAGGCTAAGGAACTTCCTAAGGTAATGAAAGTGCAAAGCTGAGATCCACAAACCGGGATGTTTACCATCAGTCCAGCAATGAATCATTTTTGAGTCTCTGTGGATGTGAAGACACAGTTATGGAGACACATGCCTACACTCCTGAGTGTTCACAGCTCCCATTTGTATCCAACTTTATGCAGTTTGTGTGTTACCTTCATGACCATTGTCTAGTTGCATTCTTGGAACAACCTTGGGGGAAGACATTGTGGTCCCCTTCTCCAGCTGTGCGCAGGTACTCAGAGTTCCTCATCCCTTGGGGTGAACTTCTGTGGCCCCAGCCTAGGCCCTGAGAGCTGGGGTTCCAAAGCGGGGCCCCCAGGGTGGGCCCCCAGGGAGTGGCTGTGCCTTCCTGAGCTCCCATCTGAAGATGGAAACCTGGTCTAGTCTTGGCTCCATCCCCAGACTTTGTGGTTCTACCTGTCGCCTCTTTCCTGCAGAAAAGGACGGATGAAGCTGCCTTCCAGAAGCTGATGAGCAACTTGGACAGCAACAAAGACAACGAGGTGGACTTCCAGGAGTACTGTGTCTTCCTGTCCTGCGTCGCCATGATGTGCAATGAGTTCTTCGAAGGGTTCCCCGATAAGCAGCCCCGGAAGAAGTGAAGGCCCCCGTGTGGGTGGGGGGTAACCTACCTGTTGGTAGAGGGCACAGGACCTCACCCTGGCTCCACCAGATGTGTGCACGATGTGCACCAAGTTCAATAAAGATTCTTGGAAGCTTTGAGGCTGATGGTCTGAGAAACTCTGGGTCTGGGGTGGGGGCTGAGGGACATGTGGGGGTGGGGAGCACAGGCAGTGGGCAGCGGTTTTGTGGAGAGCAGACTAGTGAAGGTGGGGGGGAAGGGGTGAATGGAAGACTGTCCTTGTGCGTGCATGATGGAGTTGACTGATGGGGCCGAGGGCAGGGAAAAGAACCCCCAAAGGCTTGGAAAGCCCCAGCTGTGGGGTCTTTGCCAGCAGAATTGTCCCTCCCACCTCAGCCTTGCCTCTGGAGGGATTGAAGTTCGTTCGCATCTGCTCCTGGCTGGGGCCTGGAATGGAGTTTGGGCGCCCTGCAGCAGGGAGCTGAATCAGGAGGGCCCTGCCCTGTGGGCCCCTTCCAGTGACCTGGTTTCCAACCCAGGGATGGGTGAGTCCATCCTGTCCATGGTTAGGTCAGGGAGACCGCGTGGAAGGAGGCGACGCCATTGCAGCAACCTGAGAATATCACCCTCTCAACCTTTGCTGTCCCTGCCCCAGAGACCCTGGAATGAGGGCTGTTATCAGTCAGAGTCATGGTCCTTCAGAGAAGGGCAAAAGGACCTCAAAGGGAGGAGTGGAGGGTAGTAGCTGGGGTGGAAGTGAGGGAGATGGTGGGAGGTGGCCGTAATTTTGGAGATGAAATTCCAGACACATGCTCCGATAAATGAAATTGAGATTTTTCTTTCCCCAGAAAATATCAGGCAGGTTGTTGCCTCCCGTCAGGTTAAACGCTGGTGGGCGATTGAAGTCAGACTTCCAGGCCAGGCCCAGGTGGTATGGGGGCCTCTAGGAAGGACGTGAGTAAATGTGGTGTCCAGCAGCAGGGGGTCTTAGTCCCTTGACCTTTCAAGCTTTCCCCCTTCCTTCTCATTATATCCCGTTTTTCTCTCAAGTGTCAGAGCAGTGGGGCAGGTGACTCAGATGTTCCCTCCGAGTGTGACTGCAGAGGCCTGGGTAGGATTTTGGTCCAGGAAAAAGCCTGCCTCCTCCCCTTCTGTCTGGCCCCTGGCCGCCCATCTTCCAAGGGAGTGACCTCCCCTGGGGCTGCTCCTACATCTCTCTACCTCGGAAACTCCTGTTGCTCAGCGACCCGTCCCTGCTGCTTCTCTAGCCTTGCCAGTGGGGGCGGGGCAGAGTGGGCCCGGGGCGGGGGGGGGGGTGCCCAAGCAGGCCGGGTGGGGCCGCAGCACCCACAGGTGCAGGCCCCTAACTCCAGCTCTGTTCTCATACTTGAATTACTTGGTGGTAGAACAATGTCTCTCCTGGGATTCAGGCAACTCTCCCTGCCCCCTGCCCCATTCCTTCCTGACCCCCAAACCTGCTTCCCCAATCCACAACCTTTACACCATCACCTGGCCCTACCCTTCCTGGACCCCTTCCCGGTCCCTGATTCCTAGGCTTCCATTCCAAGTCTCTGACAATTATTTCCCATGAAGATGAGTGAGGCTTAGAAGAAATCACTTTTAAAAGCCCTTTAGGGGCACCTGGGTGGCTCAGTCGTTAAGCGTCTGCCTTCGGCTCAGGTCGTGATCCCGGGGTCCTGGGATCGAGTTCCACATCGGCTCCCTGCTCAGTGGGGAGCCTGCTTCTCCCTCTCCCACTCCCTCCGCTGTGTTCCCTCTCTCCCTGTGACTCTCTCTGTCAAATAAATAAATAAAATCTTAAAAAAAAAAAAAAAAAGCCCTTTAAAAACCTTAGGCTCCATACTCTCTAATGACCTTGACCTTGACTTTCATGCCCTTGGCAGGAAACATCTTCCCTCATGGATTCCCATCTCAAGGTGTGTTTGCTCTGCTCTTGGTGTGGATGGGAGGGCCCCAGTGTGGAGAGTGGCCTAGGGTGAGAGAAGATACCCTGTGTTTGGCCCACATTTCCTGGGTCTTTTTTCCCCGGGGCAGCTGATTTCTCTTCTACCCTGTTGTCCCATCAGATTGAGTGCTGGTGTTTGGTTGGGAAAATAAAGCTTCTGGAACTGAAGGTGTGTGTGCCACAACGAACTCAATGTGCCCCCCTTCCCCTCTGTTTGGAAACAAGGAAGGCAAGATTGGCAGAGGGGTTTCTCCCCAGCCCCGTCCCATGAGGCTCTGACCTGGGCCTTCTCAGGTCCCTCTCCTTCTCATTGGCTCTTTCCCTCCCCTGGTTTCCTGGGGACCACAGCAAGGGAACAAAGGCAGGGAGTGGTGGGAGGGAGCCTGTTTCTGCTGTGTGGGTTGTCTGCTGCTTCCTTCCCTAGTGAGTCCTTCCTTCTCACCTCCCTGCTCATCTATACGCTGCGGCAAGCAGGGCAATGAGGCCAGACCATGACGCCTTGAGGAAGGCCTGGCATGATGAGTTGGCATGCGCTCAGGAAGGAGGACCGAGGGTGGAGGTGTGGTTATCAGAATTTCTTGACAAGTGGCTCTAGGCATGGAGTTGTGATCAGAACCAGCCAGGATGCTGTTGCAGCCGCCCAGAGAACCTTCCCTCCCCTGTGGTCCTGGCTGAGTCTCCTGGAGTGGGGGAGGGGGGGTGGGTGATGCTGAGGTTTTGGGGTGGTGAGAGGTGAATGACAGATCCAGTTCAAGAATCACTAGGGGGGCTTTGGGCTGAAGGTGAGAGCCAGCTGCTTCTTCCTTCTTGCTCTGGACTCCACACAGATTAACCTGAAGCCCCCAAGTTTCTTGGGTGTTGCCTCCTTCCTAAGGGGAAGTGGTTTTCGAGTCTGAGTTATGGGAGCTGCCTCTTCCCTTGGGTGGGTGTGGCTGTGCTGATGGACATGGGGGGCCACATTCAAACCCAACCTCGGGATCCAGCTCTCAGAGGGGTCCTGGAGATTTTGATAGGCCCACCCCTCTTGGTGCCAGTTGCATGCAGTTCTCTGGGCCAGAGACTGAGACCAGCTGGACAAGTCCAACAACCTCTGCCCTGTTTCCTGCTGAGACCTTATCTCCCAGTTCCAGCCCCAGCCCCCTCCAAACCCTGGACTCTCTCTTAGCCCTGTCCTCTACCTCTATAATGGGACACTCCCCACTATCAGGTGATTCAGGCACCGGGGCAAAGGAGGGAGATTAGGGTGAGGGCTGCCTCTGGGAAATGAGTGTCCAAGCTATATGGGCCAGGGGCCCTTTCTCGGCTCCATCATCTGCCACCAGGTCATCTTTGGGGAGGTCACCTTGTCATCTGCCCCTAGAGCCCTTTTCCAGCATCTCCTAAGCAGAGGAGTGTGTAAGCTCCTTTGGGGGCTGGCTGGTCTCATGGCTCTGGCTGTTCCACATTTGCCTCGGGTCTTACTACAACCTGTTCTGGTACATTTGGGTCCACTTGTTGGTAGATTCTGTGTCATCTGGGTTCTAGTTTCTGATTCTTTAGAGAGAGCCTCGAGGCTGGGCTAGTGAGAGGGGAAGCAGAAGGTCTGGCTTCCCCTGGATGTTGATTCTTCCCTCTCCCTTCACCCTCCAGAGCCACACACTGATGGAGACATCTCTTGAGAAGGCCCTGACCACTATGGTCACCACTTTCCATAAATATTCGGGGAGAGAAGGCAGCAAACTGACCCCCCGCAGGAAGGAACTAAAGGAGCTGATCAAGAAGGAGCTGTGTCTTGGAGAGGTAGGTGGCTGTCACACCCCCACCCCAAAGCCTGAATTCTCCCTGTGCACACCATGGGGGAGGAGGGAAACAGAGGAAGCAGCAGACCACTGTCAGGGGCTCCCCTTCTGTGAGGTAGGAAGCCCCAGTTCTGCATCTGTAGAGACCCAGAATAGGGGACACACATCTGCCCTCCGAGTGCTCTAGTCTCAGCCAGGAGCAGGAGGGCCAAAGGGAACTGACAGAGACCTAATGAAGAAGGTGGACATCTTGGGCCACCAGATGCAAGACCTCTGTGACGAGGGACGAGTTGGGTTTCACTGGGAGGGAGGAAGGGCAGCATCCAGAGGGTGAATTACAGCCTGTGTGAAGGTTTAGAGGTCAGGGAGCCTTCTTTGTTGAGGCCAGGCCCACACAGCCATGGAAGAGCCTGTGTGAGGATTCATGGGGGACAAGGCACCAGGGTGCCCACCTTGAGCTGTGCACGGCTCAAGGGCAGGGCCTTCACCTGTGTGCCTGGTACATCCAGGGCTCTCAGCTGGCACTGACATGGGAACAAAAAGGATCATTCTTCTAATTTGTGAACACAAGGTTGGAAGGAGACAGATTGTTTCTTGCCAGATGGAGATGGTGGGAGGCGGCTGACCAAGGGGACGGCCTATGAGGAAGTTATGTTATTTTTACAGTTCAAAAAAATAGAGGCTCAGAAACATTATCTAACTTGTCTAAAGACATCCAGCTAGTAAGAGGCTGAGTCCTTCCTTTTTCCTTGAAAATCCAGTCTTGGGGGCCTTTCCAGTCACATTGTGAACCTTGGTGGGCCTCCCCAGAGAGAACCTCCCCTTTGGGCTGTGGACTGGAGCAGGTATGGGTTTCACCAAGCCTGCCCTCCGGCTTTCCTGCCAGGGTCTCTGCATCCTGGAGTTAACGAGGGCAAAGGGAGGGGTGGCGGGTCCCCTAGGCGTTAATTACAGGGGAATAGAGGCCCTGGGGAAGGCCCGACTTTAACAGGAGCCCAGACTGGGGGCAAGGACCGCATCACAGAGAAGCTGTTTCCATCTCCATTTGTCCTGACATCTGTCTCCTGTGGAAAAGTGGGAGCTAAGGGCAGTGAAGAGGGGAGGGCAGAACAGGTCTGTGTTTTCTTCCTGTCCCACCGAAGGGCCCTGTTTCCATCCTCTTGGTGGAGCTGGGCTGGGAGAGCAGGGGACACACAGAGAATGGCTGAGCCGGGGCCTCATCCTCACACAGGTGTGCTGTGCGCTCTCCCAGAAAGGGAGGCAAGTGCTGGCTTCTGGGCTCCGGCACACTGCTCTCATGGCGTGTTGTCTGGGTCGGTTCTCAACTATCCTCTACAGAGACAGAAGAAGTCTGAATCATGCTCAGTGCCACATAGTCACCAAGGCATTTCTGTTGGACACTGTATAAAATCTAGGTGATTATTTCTTCGGATGGTGGAAAGTGCTGAGGAAAGGGGAGGTTGGACCAGCTTTCCTACGGACATTTGCTTAGATTCAGGAGTCAGGTCACTGCATGGTGCCAGGCCCCAGGCTGGGTTTGGGCTGGGGGAGATGCTGGGGGTTGAGATGTTCCGAGTGTTGCTGACCCAGATGAGGATCACCCTGAGACTGCCTTCCCAGGGGGTGGGTGGCACCGTGCAGTGGTGAGGCAGGGCTAGGTGGGGTGGCTGACCTGTCCCTCTCCCTGGGCCCTTGAAGAAGATGAAGGAGAGCAGCACTGATGACCTGATGAAGAGCCTGGACAAGAACAGTGACCAGGAGATCGACTTCAAGGAGTACTCGGTGTTCCCGACCACGCTGTGCATGGCCTACAACGACTTCTTCCTGGAGGACAGTGAATGACCAGGGCTCAGCCCCTTCCCCCCGGTCTCTGCAACCCCTCTCACAGCTCCTCTCTGGCCCCTTGCCCTCCTCTCCCTTCTGGATGGACCCTGCTTCAGCCTTCCCTTCCAGCAGGGGAAATAAAGATTTTCCATTCCTGGCTGGTTTTGAAGAAGTCTTGTCCACCTTGCCTGGGGGTGGGTGGGGCAAGGCAGAACTTTTCCTGGAGTGGATTGAGAGCCTCTGGGAGTTAGGGTCCTGGGCTTCCACCCCACTTCCTGCCCTTCTTCAGTGTGGATGTCACTGAGTTTGCTGGGCTTAGTTTTGCCTTTCCGGAAAATGGGGGAAGTTGGGCCAGGCTTTCACTTGCCTCCCAGAGAAAGCTAAAGAGGAAGTGCTTTGATAGAGCACAGGCAGTGAGGGAGCTGGGGGAGGCTCCTGAGGGCAGTGGTGGACAAGCCAGTCTGAGGCCACAGAAGGCCACCAGGACAACACCTCATGCCAGCCCCCTTTCCCTCTCCCCCATTTCCCCCTCGGCAGCTAGCCGTACCCACCCCACCACAATCATCTGTGGGGTTCAGTGCTTCTGCTGTCTCCACTTCCCCCTGTGAAAATCCCGTCTCAGGAGAGGATCTGGAAAACCTTTTCACCGGAGGGTACATAACTCAGGCAAGCGCCAGTGTGCACATCGCCCGGCAAGAGGCTGCAGGCGGAATTCCAGGCTGGGGTGTGGGGGTGTGGGTGGGGAGGGAGGGGGTGCAGTCGGGGAGGAATGGTTGTGAGGGTTGTGGTGGGAATTTGTTTTTGCTGAGGGGTGGGTGTTCCAGATGTCCTTTAAATCATACCCTATAGACCACACTGGCTGCTCCCTCTCCATCTGGGGTTGACCCTGAACACCCTCTGGGGAACCCCCGGACCAGGGAGCTGGCCCGGAACTCGATGTCCCTGGCTTGCAACGGTCTCCCCGGCTTGCAACGGTCTCCCCTGGGATCCCGGAACAGCCCGGGGCAGGAAGCGCCGAGGGCTGGGGGCCCCCAGGGTGTGTCGTGCGGGCGCGGGCTCCCAGCGGGCCTGGACGGGGCGGGCCTGAGGGCGGGGCGGAGGTCGGGGTGGGGCTGGCCTGGGGGGGGTGTGGGGGGGAAGTTGGCTGGGGTGGGCGGGGCGGGGTTGGGGGCCTGGCGGCGGGAGGGGTGGGCTCTGGCTCGCCCGGCCTCCGCTCCGCGGCCGCTAAAAGGCGCGCTGGCCACCGCCCCGCCGGTCCCTGGACGCTCTCCCGGCCAAGCGGTGAGTCCTCGCGCGCCCACCGGGTTCCTGTGGCCGCCCGCCCTGGGGTGAATCGGCCCCCGGCCAGCGCATGGCCGGCTGAGTGTACCCCGGGCTGCGGGAGGGGTGTGCCCCGGGTGTGTCAGCGCGGCCTGTGTGCGGCCCGCCTCATACTCTCCAATTTCTGGAACCCCTGGAGGTTAGCTCTCAGCTGTGGTCTTATTTGCTCCTTGACCACCTCTCTCCTCTGGGCCTTCAGGTCTGCCTCTCCCTCCCGCTCAAGCCCTGGGTGGACTCCTGATGGTGACACCGATGCGGGTGGGGACAGAGCACTTGGGGAATGTGAATGTGGGTGGGGGGGGGGAGGCCGTTGGGCACTGACCAGCCTTTCCATCCCCAGCTCTGAGCCCAGTGCCCAGCCATGGCGTGCCCCCTGGATCAGGCCATTGGTCTCCTCGTGGCCATCTTCCACAAGTACTCGGGCAGGGAAGGTGACAAGAACACTCTGAGCAAGAAGGAGCTGAAGGAGCTGATCCAGAAAGAGCTCACCATTGGTGCGGTGAGTAAGGCCCCTCTTCCTCCGCCCTTTAGAAGAAGGGTGAGGAGAGGGAGAGGTGCCAGGTACATCTGGCTCACAGTTATCCACATTCTGGGGCCCAAGTTCACGTAGCTTACTGGGACCATTGGTCAATTCCTAATACTCTCAGCCTGGTACTCTCCCTAGTGAGGAGCCGGAGCGGAGGAGAAGTAAAGCCAAGTGAACCCAAGGTGGACTCTGTGTCTTTGACAAAGAGAGTGCACAGCCTCTTGTGTGAGGAAGGGCTGCCTGGAAGGGGGAAAGGGAGAGAACCCAAGGTTCTCATCACACTGAGTCTGGATTTCCCTTTCTGACCTGCTAGAAGCTGCAGGATGCTGACATTGCAAAGCTGATGGACGACCTGGACCGGAACAAGGACCAGGTGGTGAACTTCCAGGAATATGTCACCTTCCTGGGAGCCTTGGCTTTGATCTACAATGATGCCCTCAAGGGCTGAAAATAAATCAGGAAGGTGGAGACACCCTCCATCGGGCCTGCCTGAGTCAACTCCAGTGGTGGGTAACTGTTCAATAAATACCTTTTTTTGGTCAAGTCTGCCTCCGTGTCCTGGCTTCTAGTGACTTCTGTTCTCTCCTCTTCGTGGTGCTGTGCCAGCCATCAGAGTTTGCTCATGGTCACCTCTGGGAGTGACTCAGCAATGCCCCACACCTGGGGCCACCCTGACCAGGCCGCCGCTAGCTCGTAAGGTGCCTTTACATGAATTAGAAAAGGGTCTCGCCCTGGACGAAGGCATCTTAAGGGACACTCAGGTGGTCCCCAGGAAAGAGGGTTTTAGGATGTGGGTGGGGAAGGAAATGGTGCCTGATCCAGGCTGGGATGGGTCCAATGGGGGGGCAGAGATAGTCCTGGTGATGCGATGTAGTTTTTGAATGTTGGTGAGGTTGGTGAGGGCTGGAGCCGATGGCCAAGAAAGATTTCTTGAGACGTCCTTGGTGCAAAAAGGTGGTTTTATTAAAGCACGGGGACAGGACCCGTGGGCAGAAAAGAGCTGCTGTCCCTGGATTGTAAGGAGCAACTGATTATATACCTTTGGGTTGGGGGAAGTAAAGATAAGGGAAGATCCAGAAGGACTTTCATACCTTAAAGCCGACTCTCAGGATACTGGAGGCCTTGCTATTGTCAAGCTCAGGTTTTTCCCTCTAGCAAAGCATTTACATTAAGACAGTTGGGAGCTTCCTGCGGGAAGGTATACTCTGCTTGCCTCAAGTATTTTGTCAATGGGCTGCAGACTATAAGGACATTTAAATTTATTTACATTTCCTTCTGCCTTTGTTTCCCACATCATTGGCAGGGTCCCTGAAGACAAAGACCTGTTTTGCTCTGGGTGTGCTGACAGAAGGGCCATGGGGTGGGGCTGGTCCACTTTCTTCCTGCTGTGAAGTGGAGGCAGAGAGGGCACATCTGGCATGCCCAAAGCCCAGCTGGAGTGTTCTGAGGCCACTGAGGCCACTGTAGGGCTGAGTCCACAGCAGCTGCCCATGGCCCAGTTGAAGGTGGGGGGCCTACTTTAGGAGCCTGTCTCTGTATTTTGTGTTGGGGGTGGTGGTCTGAGTAGCTCATAGCTGCAGGAACGTGAGAATCATGGGGTGCTATGATGGGGGCAGGGTGGGGTCCCTGGGGCTGGGCCAACCACAGCTTCAAGCCTTTCAGTCAATATTGAGCTGGCCCATCCCTGCAGCCTCAGAATGAATCATCCTAGTTATTTCATGGGAACCAAGCCTGGCTCTCAGCCCCCAACAGGGAGGATGACTAATTGAATTATTGTCTGAATCCATTGTTTGCATTTGCGGTTTCAGGGTGCGGGGCATGGGGATAAACTGTATCTCACGGCGATGGGGCATTTGTCACTGTTCTCTTCCCTCCAGGCCTAGTCTGAGCCAGGCAAGCTCCTCTGTAGGTTCTGGACACCTCAGAGGGAGACCAGAGCCTCCTTCCCCTCTTTCCTCCTCACTTCCTGGGGGCCCAACTTTGTGGAATTGTCTTCCTTCTCCATGGGGCTGCGAAGAGTGAACAGTTGAGAAAGGGCAACTAGTCCCTCCTCTAGTTGCCCCTCCTGCCCGGCAGGGAGTAGGAGCTGGCCCTGACGGGAAGCCGGAGATACCCAGGGCTTCCTGCTCCCAGGCCGAAGAGCCTTGTCCAAACCTTGGTCGGCTCTATTCAACTCGCTCTGGCAAAGTACCTGACCCGCTGACAGTGGTGGGCAATTTGGGGGCGTGGAGCGTGCGCCCTCGTGTGGGCGGAGAGCAGAATGCTGGGGGGAGAATGGCAGTGGTTTTCTTGAACCCCGGGGGAGGGGCCCGTGTTGATGGAACCCGCCGCTCTGGCTCTCAGGGAGCTCTTCTTATGAAGGGGGGAGACAGGATTTGCCCGCCCAGGGAATGTCAGCAGGGGTATCTTTTGGCTCCATAAAGCAACTCAACTTTGTCTAAGACAGACCTGCGTGAGCGAGTGGATGAAAGGAAGGCGGTTTGCAAAGACAATTAGAATTTGAACCTCTTCCCCCCTTCCAGGGGCGAAAAGACCTCGGTGCAAAGAGGAAGGAGGAACTGTCTCAGCAGGTGAAGACCTCCTCCCCCTCCACCGAGGGAGGAGCTGCTCTGGAGGCTGAAGTGAACCCACAAACGTGCGTAGTCCACCTGCTACATGAAGAGGCTTGTCCTTTAGCTTCCGCTTCTCCGCAGTAGTGGAACATGGAGTTAAAGAAATAAATCCCAAATAAGTAGCAAGTCTTTTTGTTTGCTTTGAGAGTGTGATTTTTTTTTAAGATTTTATTTATTTATTTGAGAGAGAAAATGAGAGAGAGAGAGAGAGAGCATGAGAGGGGGGAGAGTCAGAGGGAGAAGCGGCTCCCCGCTGAGCAGGGAGCCCGATGCGGGACTCGATGCCGGGACTCCAGGATCATGATCTGAGCCGAAGGCAGTCGCTTAACCAACTGAGCCACCCAGGCGCCCCTGAGAGTGTGATTTTTTTAAAAAGAGATTTTATTTTTAACTAATCTGTACACCCAGTGTGGGTCTCGAACTCACAATCCCGAGACCAAGAGTCCCAGGCTCTACTGACTGAGCCAGCCAGGTGCGCCCAAGGTGTGATTTTAAAGGTTTTTTCTGGGGGGTGGTGGTGGTGGGAGGAAACAGCATTTCCAGTGGAATCTGGTGGGTGCAGCCATCAAGGGGTGGAATTGGG